TGCTTGGGATATGGCTGGATTTTGCTCCGCTAGTGCTTCACTCTCCTTTTCTCCTATCTGTGAAATCATGGAAGTTAGCTTCTTGTTGCATAAAACAGAATATTTTGTAGTTCAGCTACGTTGAGGAATGAAAATTTAAATGAATCCAATGTAGTTGATCTTAAAAAATTTTATCAAGGAAGATTGATATGCAAGTGTGTGTTTTCTTACCGATTGCAGAAGATTCTCAGGAAGAATGTCAAGAATATCATTATCAGTTGAAAACCTTCCATTCTCGCAGACTTTATCACCAGCATTTGCACTCTTCACAGGAGTACCGAAGAGCAACGACCTTCTAGTTGACGGGCGTCTAGCTAGTTTTATTGGTGATTCAGCTGGATCATCTGGACTCATGTAACATCTCTTAGGAGGTTCGAGCATAGGGGTTGCTGGAGCGGATGTAGAACCATCTTCTCCCTTTTTGGCTTCAATCATAGGAAGAGCAGGTGGATGGCATGGTGAACTAGCCAAAACAACCCCTCCTGCTGAGCATTTCATGATGCTAGTTTGTTTTAGAGATAACTTAGGAGCATCAGAACATGCTACTGTTTTCTTCTTGGTGGAACTTGGGACATTAAGGGGTATTGAAGCTGGAGAAACGAGCCCGAGCCCAACTCTATCTCTTTCCTTGAGATCTGTTCCTCCAGTAATAGATGCTCGATTTGAAAAGCATCTCTTGAAAGATACAGACAGGTGTGATGCAGCTATTGACTGCAGTGGGAACACACCATTAGGTGCCTCACTGGTTAAGGATGAGCCAGAAGGTCTACATGAGTTGGTCACTACTTGCTTAGACTGAGTGAATGGGCCTGGCAGCATTCCCTCAGGAATGTCATCACCCTGAAACAGAAACAGTAATTATCTTATTTGTTTATCATGGAAATAAAATTTACAGGAAAACATTTAATTATACTTCAACGATGTCTAAGCTGACAACATGGTGCTCATATATGTAAAAGTGTGTGTGCTGGTTATTCAATGCTGATAGTCAGAGTAAAACACAATACAAATTCAACACAAATTTTCTTATCAAAAGCTATTCCTTTCATACAATATGGCAGGCCAGCCACTGAAGTACTCTGTAGCTTCATGAAACAGTATTACCACTCTTTAGGTGCTTCACGTATAGCTTCATTCTCATACAAAGTTTAGTATTTTCTGGACTAAAGCACCTACAATGTTGCACAGGCACTGCACAAATCTAAATGCCAGAAACAATTGCATCACTTTCCCAAGAACGTATAGTATAATGAAAGACCTCCAGCTTAAAATCTCATATTCCATTTGAAACTTCTGCTGCTATGCTGTTAAAAGTGTTCATATTCCTCTTAATATGCTCAAGAGCAATTGTTTGCAAATGAAACACTGGTCGGGATGTCTTACAGAAAATGAGCTTGAAATAACAAGAGCACTTAGCAAGTCAAATAGCATCTCAGAACATATTAGTCTTTCTAAATAACATGAATTCAAGCCAATAAATCTCAATACTGCATCAGCTATATTCTGGCAGATAGTTCAATCTTTAACAACAATATACTTAGTGTAATCCTACAAGTGAGGTTTGGGAGGGTTCAGTGTACGCAAAACTTACTCCTACCATGAGAGATTGTTCAACACAAACAATCAAAACATCAGAAAAATTGATTACCTCAGGGTGTGACTTGAAGAAATCCAAGAGCCGAGAGCGGAATATTTTCCTCAATAGAACACTGCTACTGTTAGATTTCCACTTCTCACTATTATCAACTGCATTTGCATTTAAAGTGATATAAAGATCCGGCTTCATGCACCAACTGCGCTCATCGTGCTTGAGAATCTTCTTTATCTCAATGGCTTCAGGTAAAATAAACTTCAGCTGAGCTAAATGACTGCAAGTAAACCTCCTAAAAAGTTCAAAAAGAACAAAATTATTAACAATCCTCTCAGTACAGCAAACACCATCAATGAAAATGTTCAAACATCATTAGATCTTCATACTTATCGATCAAACTCTCTACTTTCGCACTAATATTAGTGAAAGTTGTTGCAGATCCCTTCAAATGTAGCAGCCGAATTGAACTATCCATGCTATTGAAGAATTTTTCCAACATTTCATACCTATACAGTAATAGAAACACACATTAAGAAAAACTCAACCAAGCCTCTTACCCTGTCATCACTCTTAGCTAATAAACAAATAAGACTAATACTTTCAAAAGCTAATATATTGAAACAACTACTCCCTCCATCCCAATCTATGTGCCGTATTTGGATTTCGAGAGTCAAACAAGTTTTTCATATAAACTTTTGAATTGTTAATTATATCACATATAGTAGCTTTTTTTATTATTATATATATTTTTTACTTAATTTACAAATATTGATTCTACATCCAAATTCCCTGAGTCCCCAAATTTTCTGTTACTTTTGCTTTCCAAAGTCCTACCCAATCCGGCATAAGATCAGTAGTGTTCCTACTTACCATCCAGTGTGACTTTAAGCTCACAATCAACGATGCTTAACCACTTGAGCAAGCCTCGATTGTTAAATCTAAATATCTTATTATTTCTTCAAAGGATAAAACTTATTCAACTAAGTTTTCTTCGCATCAAAAGCAAAATAAATAAATAAACAATTGTGATGAACATATTGAAGAAAATTTATTTAAATTAAGTTTCACTTCATATCAAAAGCATAAATAAATAAACAATTGCGATGAACTTATTGAAGAATATTCAAGTAAGTATCTGGTCAAAGAGACACAAAGTGAATAAATCATCAAAACGGAAAGTACAGGAAACACTCACTTTTCCGGCAGCTTTACCGAGTTCACATGCTTCTTCCGTTCAGAAACCGGCGATCCAGCTACCAATGGAGATTTCACTTCACCGTAGCTTAATAACGGATCAGAAACCTCGCGTTGGATCAGATCGTGTTTCCGGAGCTTCTGAGAAGCTTCTCTGACGTCTTTCAGGGACTGCAGTGATCGCGCCATGCGATTTTGGATCGGTTTCTCCGGTGTTTTAGTTCTCCATTGATCCATCACCGGAATTGCTACAACTCCGGCAGATTTTTCACTGCGAAATGGATTCGCCGGTAATGATTTCCGATCGGACGGTGAAGATCCGGTGAACTCCATTAATGAGAGGCAGAAATTGAAAGCGAAACGAATGAAGAGAATATATATAGTTAGGTTTTCGCGCGGGAATTATGATGACGTGTCAGTTATGCCACGTCAGATTTGGCGCCAAGTTTAAGCGCTAATTGTTGCTAAAGAGAAAAGGCCCATTGGGCTGTAATTGGTGTATTTGAATTTTAGGCCCAATAGTTATATATGGTCCATTAATGGGTCATTTCCACTTTTACCCCTATTTTGTATTGTTAATTTTAATCGGGAAAATTACGCGAAACAACAAACATCTAAAGTATATTGTGTAATATAGCTGTAGTCTTGATTATTTTCAATTCATCTCTACAATTTTGCAAATTTTGCTACTCGATTTCTTAATTGTATAAATTCAGAATTTGTGCAATTCGATTCTCGATTGTATAGCTCGAGAATTTGTATATATGATTACCCTAACTATTTGTATTCGATTTATGAATAAATCATAATAAATTATCATGTTCGTATAGCCAAGCAAAATATAAAAATGGAGTTCTGTGAAATACTAAAATGTATAAATATACAAACGCACAAACAAAATATACAAAATGCGACCTCCATTTATATATATTTATTCTATTTGTATTTCACAACGAAATATTCAAACTGACAAGCGAAATATACAAACTACAATATTGAGGACAAATTACTGAAAAATGCGACCTCCATTTATGTATATTTATTCTATTTGTATTTCGCAACGAAATATTCAAACTGACTAGTGAAATATACAAACTACAATATTGAGGACAAATTACCGAAAACTGTAGTTATAGAGTTTCATTAGATCTACTATCTTTATTATTTCTGATCTTTTCTCGACCAATAAAGTTTATAAGTATCAATAATGTGTCAAATAAGGTCCTAATAGGACTAATTTTTTCCCTCCAAAAATTGAAATACTTCATCTAATTATAGTAAATTATTAAAAAAAATTGTTTCCTTTTTCAAATAACTCTTTAATTTTATTTTTAAGGACATATTTAATATTATAAAATTAAAATACATTTTAATACATTTAACATATTTTAAATTTAGAATCATAAAATTTAAAATAAATTTATTTCCTTTTTTCAAATAGCTCTTTAATTTTATTTTTAAGGACATATTTAATATATTATAAAATTAAAATATATTTTAATACATTTAACATATTTTCAATTTAGAATCATAAAATTTTTTTTAAAAAAATTACTCTTATATACCAAATTAAAACAAGGTAAATAAATTTATCAAAAATTATATTTTCTTCGTCTTAATTTATGTAACATTTTTTAGATTCAAAATTCAATTATATCTATCTTTGATTGCAATTTTTTCATATATGTTAAAATATTTTGAATTGTGACATAATATTTCCTCGTCTCAATATATGTGACAGTTTTAAATTCGAAATTTAAATATGTTTATTTTTTATTGTAATTTTTTATATATCTTTCAAAAATTTCGAATGGCGACATAATATTTTTTTACATAATTTATAAATATGTAAATTTTATTTCAAAAACTTCAAAAATTCTAAAATTTTCAATTAAATTTAAACTCTTTGACTTAAAAAAAAAAAACTTAAATTGAGACAAAAAGAGTATATATATCTCAAAGAATTGATACACCTTATCTAACAAAAAAAATGTTTATAGTACTATAATAATTTTTTGAGTTCTCCAAAAAATGCCACATATATACAAATGGCAAACAAAACAATAGCCACATAGCAAATAATGACCAAAGAATTCCATGTTCATCATATTGCACACATCCCCAAAATATCAAATAATAAAGAACATAAAGCCAAATAGATAAATAAACTTTCCATTTTTTGTCCATTATATACATCTTTTTTTTTTTTGCAATTATTTTGGATATTTCATTCAATTTGTCAATATGACAAATACCAAAACCTACAATGGGTATATTACAAAATCAACATCAAAAGATGAAGAACAAGGTCAATTGGAATTATATTCACCAAAATATGCCCTAAAAGTTGATAATAATAACCAAAAAAAGCCAAATGAAGAAGGAGGTCAAATGGAATTATACTCACCAAAACATGCAATAAAAGTGAATAATTCAAAGGTGAAGTCCTCTTTTTAAAAAATATAATTATTAAGTTTATTCAGGTTCAAATTTCAGCAGAAACAATAGTACAACACGATTGTCTTAAATATTTGTCTTATTTTAGTGGAAAAACTTGATATTTGTTGTTAGAAATAATTGAAATGCCTACAAAGTGATTTAATGTCATAATTATAGTTTTAGTGGCTACATAATTATTATTATTCTTGTTTTAATTTCAGGTTAAGAATGAAGGAGTAAATGAGAAGATAAACCAAAATCAAGAAATTGAAGAAAAAGAAAAGAAAAAAGTTGTTGCTACTAATGGTGGTCCACTAGCCACACCTTTGCCAGTCAGACTCACTTCTAGAATTTAATCGAGGTCGATCAGAAATAATTTCTTTATTTTTATATAAAAATAAAAATAAATAACGTTTTATGTATAAATTTTTTTGTTCTTTTTTAGACACCAATCATGAAAGTATAATATCTTTGCTAAACTCACTTCTAGAATGTAATCGAGAGTCTATAAGTATTCTCTTTATAAAAATAGAAATAAAATTTATGTATATTTTATTATTTTTCGAAAGGAATATAGAATTGGAGTTTCATTGGTGTTTTTATTTCTTTCCTTTTGTTGATGCATGGTTGTATACAACTCATACATGAAGAAGGGAAAACAATAAATGTCATTTATTTTTATACACAAAACATTTTGTGTTTGTAAGTCGTTTTGAAGATTCATATATGTACTAATATATGTAGTAATTATTTACTTTTATCTATCAGGATTTAGGAATATATATATATATATATATATATATATATATATATATATCGTAGTAATATACATTAAAATATCATAATACAAAAAGTGTATTTTATTTTTTAAATCTTTTAATCTTACAAAATTTCCAAAAAAGGGATGTCTTACGACTTCTGTTTTTCGAATTTTTCAAAAACATTTTCAAAAAATATTGTTAGTGCCGAATCCTTCACAAGTGCAAATTTTTAGGTAATTCATCACAAATAGGTTATCATTTTTTTTTGAAGAGTGAACAATATAGATGAAAATGACGAGCATCATTCACTAGCTTTACAAATATTGTTCGAATTCATTATCGTTCGTGTTGAATCCATCACAAGTGCAAATTTTTAGGTAATCCATCACGAATGGAATATCATCTTTTTTAAAGAGTCAGAATAATATAGATGAAAATGACGAGTATCATTCACTTAAAAGAATCTCCCAAAATTTTCTTTAACCTTATTTTGTTCAAATTCTTTAAAAATATCTTCAGAATTGTACACATTTTTGAAGAATTCGACATGAGTATGACATCATTTTCGAAGAATCTTATAGGATCTTTCAGAAGTGTACCCATTTTTGAGGAATCCGACATGAGTATGCCATCATTTTTGAAGAGTCGAAGCAAATATCTTCAAAATTGTACACATTTTCGAAGAATTTGACATGAGTATGACATCATTTTTAAAGAGTCTTATAGGATCTTTCAGAAGTGTACCCATTTTTGAGGAATCCGACATGAGTATGACATCATTTTTGAAGAGTCAAAGCAAACATAGACGACAAAAAATGACACAAAGACCTATCATCTGAAAATAAATCCATGTTCTTGATATCCTCTCTTTTCAACAATCCCTTATGCTGGATCATATGAATATACACATTTATATAGTTAAAATGTGTGTAAAAAAAAACAACAAAACCCCGAATCGTCGATAATAATAACAACCCTCTTCCTTTATCCGGGCTTAAACGTAAACATGAACCTAAGGTTCAGTGTTTGGTAACCTGCTGAGAACAGAGTGCTCTGGTTTGTGTTCACATTCAAAATCGAGATGAACGAATGCTCGTTCAACTTCAGGGAGTTTTTCGAGTTTTATTTGTAGAGTTTCTCCGATAGCATGTGCTTCTTTCAAAGGCAAATCTTCCGGGAGTTCAATATCTACCTACGTTACAGTAAGCAAACGAGTCTCAAAATCATCGATAGAAGAACCATTCGTGTGCTATTATAGATGGTTTTTTCAGAGACTGACCTCTACGAAGTACAAGACACCAAATGTGTAGGCTCGAACTGTATCAATACGCTTCACTTGAGGGTGTCTTATCACAAGATACGTTAACTTTTGCAAGTATTCGGGTGGGGCTGATTGTCCCACTAGTGACACTACATGAAGAACGTCGTTCAGTATGGAATCAAACATAGTATAATGACGAAACAAAACTAACAGAATCTTCTAGTAGAACACTCCGTTTTTCAACCAGGCTATCGATGCAAACTAAAGTTGTGCAGGAATGAGACGATACCTGCGTTTTCTAAAACAGTTCCTGACCAGTTGGTGATGGTATAAAGTGCAAGCATAATGGCACCAACAGGATCAATCCACCAGTAGAATTTATCGCCAAGTACAGCTGCTACCAGTCCGACTACATTAGTAACCACGTCAAAATAGTGATCCTGTCGAAAGGTATCTTCAAGTTACGAGTCTAGACTACAAGGATAACGATGCCAAAAATAGAACGCGAAGATACAGTACACACCTTTGCGTAGGCACGGACAATGTTGTTTCCTGAGCTTCTGCAGTATAACCAAAGGGCAAGTTTTACTACTGTGGCCGTTATCATGATAGTATATAACCAGAAAATTTGATCCGAGGTCATTTTTTCAGGAGATTCATCTTTAACGAGTTGTTCTACAGCCTGGATAAACACCTGAAAGCCTAAAAAGGAAGAAATGTGAGCCATAACGACTCGATAGATTATGACGAAAATAGGATGAAATGGTTGACGTGTCAAAGGAGATCGATCACGTACCAAGTGTAGCCATAACAGCAGCAAAGATAATGATCCCTACTGGCTGAACTCGCAACTTCCCTATAGGATATTTGTAGATGTTGATATTTTTCATTGACAGATGACTGAGCCAGAGTATACCACCAGCCATGAGATCAAGTAACGAATCCAACGTAGATGCAGCGATAGCTAGGGAACCACTTGTCACTGTGGCATAGATCTGCAAGATGAAAATATAGTTACTACTATTTTAGAAGAACGCATAAAACGCCACTCGTGCACATCTCGATTAATTCCACAGGATACTTGCTACAGTACTGGATAACTCTGTCCACCAAAACTTGGACAGATGGAAGGCATCACCTAATGTTTTCACCGAAGAAATGCATTCGCTCTAATTTCATAAGTGCATGGCTTTCTTATATGATCAACAACATACTTTATCGACTAAAAATTTGAGATACATTACTGAAATTATATACTCAGACTATCCTAGATTCACCGACTGTCAATTTGTAATGACAGAAGCATATGCAACCACAAAAGAAAACAGTCGATTCATATATAAGATACGAGAGGTCAGATATGCAAGTCTAGAGTTTTCTCATTCTCGGATCATGAGTTCAACGGAGCATGTAACCGTTTTTACCTTAAGAGCTAGTAATAAAACGTTTGCATAATTGGAGATCTGCATTGCCTTCTCATCTTGAGATTGTTCGTCAAGATCCTCATCATCAATGAAACTAGATGCCACAATGGAATCAACTTCTTCAAATGACTTCAAGGTCTCAAACTGTTTTTCATAGTAATCCTTTTCTCCTGTGGTGCAAAAAAACCTCAATAATGAAAAAAAGGTAATGAATAACACAACAAAGAAATCGAAACTGAGGTTTAAGGTTACTACTAGCTTGGTCACGTGAACCCAATAACTTTTGTTCAGACCCTATATATGTATTAAAAAATTCACTATCTATAAGTATTTGACTATGAACTCATTTATTGATGTATATAATAACTTAAGGTTGTTCAGACCCTATATATGTAACATTCTACAATTGTATTCTTTCACAACTTTGATACAAGGACAATTGCAACTTACAATTTTTTTCCTTTAACTTTTTAATATCTAAATTAAACAACTACACTCCCAAGTAAGTTTGGATTGTGTATATGAATCCTCATTATTCCATTTAAGCTCAAATCGCATCATCGTCACACCAAAAGAATCTAAATTTACTTCCAAAAATGAAATAATCTAGTTCAGTTTAACTCTAGAAGTTGAAAAATTGAATCTTGAAAAGCGAAAAGCATCAAACAAATATTTCAATTCCTATATAAAAGGACTAAAAGCAAATATTTCAATCAATTGAACGTAAAAATTGTGCTTCGTCGGATATCACAAGGATCAAAATTATAATTTATTAATAATTGAGGGACCAGCAATGATATTATCTAGTTCATTTAAACTCCTTAAGATAGTAAATTCAATCTTGAAAAGCATAATTCACCAAACAAATTAGAACGGAAGGATATTCGTTTCCCAAATCTAACCTAACTTCCTACATAAAAAGAATGAAAAACACATATTTCAATCAATCAAAAGTTACACGTGCCTCGTCGGATATTACAAGGATCAAATTGGAATTTACAATAACCACGAGAACAAAACTATTATTATCTCAAAAATGGAAGTGTCTATTCATTTTAACTCCTTAAGTTAGGAAAAATTGAATCTTGAAAAGCAAAAAACACCAAACAACTCCGTAAGTTAGTAAAATCTGAATCTTGAAAAACAAAAAGCACCAAACAAATTAGAACGGAAAGACCTTTTTTCACTTCCAAATGTAACATTACTTCCTACATAATGTAGAACTAAAAACACATGCCAATTAGTCAAAGGTTAAATGTGCTTTGTCGGATATCACAAGGATCATGTTCACTACTTAAGTTAGTAAATAATTGAATCTTAAAAAGCGCCAAACAACTCCTTTAAGTTAGCAAAAAGCCCCAAGCAAAATAGAACAGGAAGACCTTTCTTTTCTTCCAAATGTAACATTACTTCCTATATAATGTAGGCCTAAATACACATATCAAACAATCAAAGATTAAAATGCTTCGTCAGATATCACAAGGAGCAGTTTCACTATCACTACTTGATTAGTAAACAATTGAAAAGCAAAAAGCATGGCATCATTGAGAAATCCCGTTTATGCCAAAATAGAACAGAAAGACCTTTTCTTTTCCTTCCAAATGTAACATTACTTTCTACATAATGTAGAACTAAAAACACATGCCAATCAATCAAAGGATACCACAATGATCACTATCACCATCACTACTTAAGTCACTAAACAATTGAATCTTGAAAAAGCAAAAACCACCAAACAAATCCTTAACTTAACAAAAAATTGAATCCTGAAAAGCAAAAAGCATCAAACAATTACACATGTCAGCAAAAAATTGAATCTTGAAAAGCAAAAAGCATCAAACAACTCCATTAAGTTAGTAAAAGTTGAATCTTGAAAAGCAAAAAGCACCAAACAAATTAGAACAAAGAGACCTTAATTTTTTTATCCAAAAGTAACATTACTTCCTACATAATGTAGAACTAAAAACACATGTCAATCAATCGAAGGTTAAATGTGCTTCACAAGGATCACTTTCACTTCTTAGGTTAGTAAAAATTGAATCTTGAAAAATAAAAAGCATCAAATAACTACACAAGTTAGCAAAAAATTGAAAAGCAAAAAAGCACCAAACAACTCCTCAAGTTAGTAACAGCTGAATCCTGAGAAGAAAAAAAAG